CTAAATACTAAATACTAAATACTAAGTAAGCGGGGTGCTAAGTGAATTGTGCCTGATTTTACGATTATTATTTTTTTTGCTATGGTTGTTAAGTGCATAACTGCAGTTAAGTGAACCATATGGTTGTTAAGCAAATCCAGCCTTCCCCATTGTCAGAAGCCGGCTGGGAAGGTCACAAATGATGATCACATGATGCTGCAAACATCATAAATGCATGCTGATTGTCAAGGTTGTCACTGTGGGGATCCTACAATGGTTGTAAGTGTAAGGACATAATCCTAAAACAGTTTTTTCGGTGCCATTGCAACTTCAAACAGTCACTAATGAATGGTTGTTAAATTAAGGACTGCCTGTAAAGTAAAAATTCCAGCAGGAGATGTTTAAACAAACCATAGAACATAATCTTTTCTAGCAGGTAAATTGTTTTTTTTATTCACAGGTGTTGGAAGATAACAAACAATGGTGGAAGCTGAGGAACCGAAGTGGACAGGCTGGTTATGTTCCATATAATATTTTAGATCTGGTGACTCTGGAGGATTTTGCAGCAATGGAGCAGGTCTGATTTAGTTCTTAAATTAGATATCGTAATTCTTTAAATTAAACATACAATTGCATAGGTTACTTTGATAAATATGCTTCCCTAAATGATTCTGGCTATTAATTTTTCTTAACTATAAGGAAATCATATTTTAATCACACACAAACACACACACACACAGAGCTTTATAACTCTCTTTAATAATTATCTTTCTTTATTAAAACAGCAGTGGAAATTGCAAAGATATGTATCTTCCTCCTTCCTTTCTCCTCAAAGCAATTCTGTGAGGTAGGGTAGACAAAAATACTCATTAACCCTAAATTGACCTTCTAACCTTCAAGTTTGAATGAAGATTTAAACGCAATCTTCTAATTGTACCACATTATATTTCATTAGGTAGCTATGTGCCAACATATCTGATTCAATTCCTGATGAATGTATGAACAGTCACTTCCATATTCTTTACAAAAGTAGTTTTAAAGGATAAAATTTTCCTAAAGAATTAGGATGCAACCTGGCCCCAAAAATCATGAGTTTTGTTCAATAATGATGCAGGCTATTAATTCATTAAATAAATGAATTATATTTATATAGCCACCCGCTTCACAAATACTGAAAGAAGTATTCATTTCTGTGGAGGGCTTTAATGATACATTTCCACAGAGAATTAAAGTCTCTGTTCTGTTATTCACAGAGATATCTGCCTATATAGATAGATATTATTATCCATTAAAATGTTCCAGCATGTCAGAATCTCAGCCAAATGCCAGTAAAAGCAGATTTCCTAAGCAGCTGAAGGTTGAAATTATTTCTAATAAAATCAGAACAATGATAGGAATTTTATAACTGGACAAAACAATATTTATTTTATTTTATTTCATGAAGCATGAATTAGATAACAGATATAAGTATAGACATGATTATGAATACATGAAATGAACATGAATACAAGGGAATAGTAGGATGGGGACGGTAGGCACGATGATGCACTTCTGCACGCCCCTTAAAGACCTCTTAGGAATGGGGTGAGGTCAACAGTAGACAGTCTAAGGTTAAAGTTTTGGGGGTTTGGGGAAGAAACCACAGTCAGGTAGTGCATTCCAGGCATTGACCACTCTGTTACTGAAGACATATTTTCTGCAATCAAGTTTGGAGCGTTAATTCATGTAATTGATCAATTACAATCGATTGTAATCAAGGATTTACATCAGTTAAATGGTTATACATTCTTATCAAGCAATAAGGAATAATAAGGATAATAGAAATACGATTTTACATTGAATAAACACAAAAACAATCATTGGACATTTTGTAGAGTAATCAGAAATACCGAGACTTGAGTCCACGAGCATCTGTATCTTCCAGCCCATCCCATAAGTTACCTCCCGGCTATGCTGGCGAGAAATGGGGAAGTGAAATGGCAGCCCACAGTTCTTCAGAAGCCAAAGGACGTAAGTACCCATGCAATCTGAAACTCATTTTGTACGACCTTTCTTGCCACAGTTCTTTAAGTGAATCACTGCAGTTGTTAAGTCAATATCATGGTTGCTAAATGAATCTGGCTCCCCACTGACTTTGCTGATTAGAAAGTCCCAAAAGGTGATCATGTGCCCCCAAGACAATGAAACCGACATAAATACATACAAGTTGCCCACAGTCCAAATTTTGATCAAATATCCCTGGCGATGCTACAATGATCATAATAGCAAAAAGAATAGCACTTAGGTTTATATACCGCTTCACAGTGCTTTTACAGCCCTCTCTAAGCAGTTTACAGAGTCAGCATATTGACCCCAGAAATCTGAGTCCTCCTTTTACCCACCTCGCAAGGATGGAAGGCTGAGTGAACCTTGAGCCTGGTGAGATTTGAAGTGCCAAATTGCAGGGAGCCGGCAGGTAGCAGAAGTAGCCTGCAGTACTGCCCTCTAACCACTGCACCACCATAGAGTGAAAAACAGTCATAGGTCTTTCAGTGCCGTTGTAACCTTGAGTAGTTACTAACGAATGGTTATAAATCGAAGACTACCTGTAGCTAGAAACGGACATCTTTAAACATGCTTTTATATGTAGCTCAAATATAATCAAATAATTGATGAAGAGACTTTCTGCAACAAAAAATGTTTTAAAAGATTGATAGGCCTGAAGTCTCTTCTGAACTTGCATAATTTTTCCTCGATTTCTTTTTTTAGAATTGATTCATCACATGGACGAGGTCAATGATGAACTGCTGAAAAAGATCACAAATATCAAAATCCAGCAACCTCAAAGGAATTTTAGAGTAGAGAAGACACAGCAAGTTCACGTGCCCTTAACCTTTGAATCCAATGCTATGGAAGTCAGAGTTTGGCTGGAAGCAAATTCATTCAACAAAGGGTAAGCAGCTCTTCTCCTGTTTCTTTGCCTTCCCAGATCTTTTTTTTTTTTTTATTTCTTGCAGTTTTCCCTTCCCTTCCTTACAATTGCTAAGGATAATGGAAGTAAGTCTAGTGCATCTATAGTGCAACACATTCATTTTTGTTTCAGATAATGTGAAGTTGTTGGGATAGCAGGATTAAAAAAAAGGTTTCTAACAATAAGGTTTCTTGCAGAATAGGGAACAGGAGAAAAATGCACAAAAACATCCTTGTGTTCCATATTATACGTCCCTCAAATCTTTGTTAACTTTTGAATTTAAAAGATCAAAATTTAAATATCGTCTGCATTTATTTTTAACAGGGTCAGTTTAACGCCATAGCAATGAGCAAGCATCCTCTCAGATTCTTTAAAATCAAGAGGGGGGGAAGGAAAAGAGGGGGAGGGAATCCCCTAAATCATGATGGTTTGCCACAAGGTATAAGATTACACTTAGCATCATCCTGGGATGATGAAACTCTGATTGAGTCCCCAATAAATCTCAGCTATTAGTAAGATCTTGCCTTCAAGTGATACAGGAATATACTTGGATGGAAACAGTACAGAAATGAAACCTTTCTCTACTTTATCCCCTTAGCCTGTTATGTCCAGAAAATAGGAAAGTTTGCACACGTGCTGATCTGACCTTTTACTGTAGTTGGTGCTAATAATGATATTGCAGAACTGGATTTCGGATCTGCTCTTCTCATGGAGCAGCTTGGCTGTCTTTGTTTCTAATTCAGAGGAAGTACATTTCATTTGTACACACTAGGCAAAAGTTACACTTAATGCAGCGCAGAGCTACCCACAGATCTTTTAAAATATGTCTTGATGCAACAGTGATATAGATTTGAAAATTACCATATTGAACACAAAATTGTTGTGTATGGCAGCTACCGTAGTTGAATGCTTCTCAAAGATGAGGAAATGGATGTGTAGTGGATGGGTAGTATTAAAAAGAATGTTTGCGAAAAGAAGTGACAATAGCTGTGCATAAGTGTATGTTTCTGCTTTTTTATATGACAGTGAACTTTGGATATGTCACAAGAAATATAAAAATAAGTTGAATGTGGTGAGATGGAATGTGTGTGGGTTAAAACAAGTGATGGGCTCAAGAGTATATGGAGTTTAATGAATGTGGATAGAATACAAAATTAATGATTGGCATGAAGTAAGTACATGGTGATTTGATCTAGGTTCAAATTATGAAGCCAATACAGTATATGAAGGAAGAGTAATTGGATTGAGAGGAAGAGGAAGGCTGAGAAAGTTGATGTGATGCTGAAAGAGTTGAGAAATGTTAAAAAATGAAAAGCAGTGCAGGAAGCCTGTAGTAGGTTTGTAAGGACTGGATGATAAAGAGAAGTATGGTGAAGGGTGTTAGTGTAATTTTAGTTGTGTTTCCTTTTGTTTTCTTTTTTTAATCTCATGACTTTTTCTGAAGTGCTTGCTCGTTCTTACGCTTTTTCTGTGCTCTGTATAATATTACTTACCCTCAAAGGGACTAGCACATATACATCAATCAGGGCTTAAAAATTGCCCTAATGAGAAAGATGTTAAGGAATAATTGTAGAGAGACATCTGCAGATGCAAATCAAGTTTTTTCTAGAAAACAAACTGCGTTACTCCTGGACACATGTGTTACCATCTTCTTCAGTTTCAAGGGAACTTTCTTCTGTAAAGGGCGTTATATAAATATACTTTCGATTTAGAACAGCCAAAATAATCTCTATTTACAATTGTATGTTCTACTGATTAGTGCAGGATTTCCAGCAAATCATAATGTAAAAAACTACAGATCACTAAGAGATAGTTATATTCTATTCTAGCTAAAAAGGAGAGACACCGCCTTTGCGTATCAGGATTAAAGTTTACATAACTATGACAGCGATGAAACTAGCCTTTGAATAGTTTGCCCACTACTTATGTATGCCAGTAGAGGATCTTTTACACTTGCTCAGAATGGCACAGGAGGAAGAGGCAAAAAACATCCCAGTCTGAAAGAGGTTTAAAAAAATGTATTACCGTAGTTTAGTTTTAGTTTAGTTCAGTTCAGTTTATTTTTAAGAAACTGGTCCACGTTTCAAATTTCTTATACTTCATGAAGACTGAATGCAGACCCTTCTCAGAGACGAGATCATGGCATCCTTTTAGAAACCTTTGGAGCAGATGTCAAGGATATAGAATTAACAATCTTCCATAAATTTAGGACAAACTATTTGGCCTATGAAAAGTGTTGAATGTCTGGAGTCTTGTACATCTTTAAATAGTGCTTTTCCCCCCCTTAACATGTTTTTTTAGAACCGTGGACCATCTTGGTATACTGACAGGAGCACAGCTTTTCTCCTTGAACAAAGAAGAATTGAAAAAAGTATGCGGAGAAGAAGGTGCCCGGGTATTTAGCAAAATCACAGTACAAAGGGCTATCCTAGAGGTAAAGTTCCTAAAATAGCAAGCTTTTGATGATCATATCCATTATTTAAAGAATAGGCAGTAACATTGCTAGTGCTGTCCACAATCTTTTAAGGCTGTTAATACTTTGAGGGCAATCTCAAAATCCTGGGAAGATGCTGATGCTTTTAAGCGTTGCACATAAACTAGCAGACTTTATTCCTGTGCTAATAAGGTAGTTCAGTGGTTCTCAACTTGTGGGTTCACAATGTCATCACAGGGGATCTGAGAAGGCTTGAAGAAATGTTATGATTTAAATCCTGAGTTAAGTCCATGGCCACAAAGGGTATTTAAAGGGGGTCTGTGGTGGAAAAAAAAGTGGAGACCCATTGAGGTACTTTATGATTCATCTACTTTCAGCTATAGCAGAATTTAACTTGTAACGTTTAAGAATTGCATGTATCTTACAAATAAAATGCATTTTATAGGGTTAATAAAAGTAATTTACCAATAATCCCTTCAATTTATTCCTCCTTTTTTTAACTTTATGCCTTTTGTTTATGCCACTTTGAAAGCAGCTCTGGTCCTTCGTGATCCTATGATCTCAACAATGTCCAATAGCAAAGTCAATTAATTCCAGCTCAGTCATTTTCTCCAAATTAATCATTACATACCACTATTCCTGGAAAATTAATGGTTTTAACATTAATCAGATGAGAGTTTTTGGATATCTAAGTATCTCCTTCCAAGCCTTGATAATCTGGAACAAAGAAGGGTTAACCTGCCTCCAGCCCCAAAAGTTTTCAAATACCATCCTCCATTTTGCCAATTATAAAAATAATAAGCATGTCTAGTGCCATTAAACGTTTTAGCACAAAGTTCATTAATCACCTACTATATAATGCATGGTAAAATAATCCAATTCAAATTTTTAAGGGCTTTGCTTCAAGTAACTGATTGTTTTATCTTACTCCCTGTTGAGATTAGAATTTAAGCCAATTTCTTTGGAGACCAAATAAAATCACGGGTTGAAGTATTAGACCAGCTTACCCTTCTTTGATAGTACCAGAGTCTCTCTGATTTTTCAGGATAATTACATCGTCACATGAAAGGCAGGAATTTCAGTCTATCGGCTCTTTATTGACTTTGACTGAATCTTAGCTGAAATTGAACAGTGTCATTTTATAGCAGGGGTGTCAAACTCAAGACCCACAGGCTTAGATCTGGCCTGTGGGGCCACCCTAGAAACAGCAACGGATCAGCCCGCAGTACCTCTGCCAGCGAAAATGGAGTTCAGGAGGGCCTTGTGCGGCCCTCCCAAGCTCTGTTTTCGTTGCAAGAGGCCGTCGCAGCCAAAAATGAAGCTTGCGAGGGCTGTACATAGCCCTCCGGAGCTCCATTTTCGCTGGCAGAGGGTTGCAGGAGGCTGTCACAGCCGAAAACAGAGCTTGGGAGCCTGTTTTCACTGGCAGAGTGCTCGGGCCACCACAGGCACCCCTGACACAAGTGACATTGAGCTGGTCATGCCCATCCCAACCTCCTGAGGTCAAACACAACCTC